CGTATAAGTGAAGGCTATAAAGTTTGCACCCACTTCCAATACACAGAGTGGACGGCACTGCCTGGTGTAGTAGCGTGTCGTTATCGTCAGATATGGCGTCAATTTGCAGTAATGCGGCGGGCAGGTTCAAGTTACTTTTTATAACAACGAGGTCGTTGACTCGAGACTAAACACACATGGTATTATTGCAGGGTGTCAATGCACCAGGAAATTACACTCGACCTTCGGCAGCATTAGGTATTGTTTTAGACTAGTGAGTGACTTTTCGATTTCCGATATTCATTAATCGATTTTTAACATGTCACATACAAAAAGTGAAATTTTACATCCGCGTCGACGTATCTATCGTTTCATTTTTACAGAAATACTTAGGAAACTCAACTTTTTTTTCAAGAGTTCAAAAGTTTTGTTCGAATTTAAAAGAAAGTCAGCAACAGAGTTTCAAAGACGTTTAGTAAATGTCATTGAATACCTGCACGTGAACTAAAATCGATGTGGGTTGCTATAACTATGCAATGAGTCAAGCAATACCAACAAATGTAATAATATGTACTGTTTCTTTGAGACTAGGCACAAAGAAACACATGTCTTACATCACAACGGTGCAATCTGTTGAATTCAATTGTCACAAAACTACATCAGTAGAAATAGTGCTGAGTTTCCGCTTTTCCAAGCTTTGATCTCATTCTTATAAGACATAAAGTAAATGTCGATATGCAAAAATAAACAGTAACAAAGTATCAAATTTTCAATAGGTTATATCAATTTGCTGAATTTTCAACATAAACATTAATATCTAAATATTAAGTAGGTCGCTTGTAGGTAGTAGATGAAGTATTGCAAACCTTTTTAATTTTAAACTGTAATCGAGACAACGTACGGCTTGAAAAAATAAAATGATAAATGACATCACCGAGGGACCGGTTCAAAAAGTCATCAGAACATAGTAAGTAGGTACAGGCGTATTTATCCACCGCGCACCCGCGTCATGCGGTTACTGCGATTTATCATGCTCGTGTATAGGCACTCTAATTGCGACAACTTGTCGCCATGTTCTCAAAGATATCTCTACTAGTTCCGGTAACGACCGTCCGCTGGGCCTTACTTCTTTTCAAGTTTGCATAAAATTCAACGAATGCACCGCCATTTTGTATTCTATCGCCCGTTCAGGAATAAATGCATTACGAGTTTAGAATTGTTATTCTAGTTTCTCACGGGTGTCATTGAATGAATTTTAATCAGAATGCAAAACAATTTCATTCACACATGTTAAAAAGAATTTTATGCAATTTAAGTTTCAAACAGGGCCGAAACTAAAACGATTTTGCCGACAGCTTGAATGAATTAGGTTCGTGAAAGTCAATAACGTCCAAATTTCATTAATCTAAAAGAATCATGAAATTCAGATATTTATCTTCTTGTCACACAACACACAGCAAAAAAGAGATACCAATTGAATACAATTCGTTTCTTTTTTAATACGGTTTGCCTACAAATTGTAACGACCCTCAATTTGGAGACCCTCGTTTAAATCGCAGATGTTAGTGAATGGACATGAATTAGGTATTACATTTAGAAATGCACAGACACGAGTACCTGTACGTGAGTAGGTAACACCAAATATATATATATATATATATTAACTTATTGGGTGTGTACATGCATATAAATTACATCAAAAGTAGGTATATGATCGTATGTCTCTAAAGTTTCTATTTCTTCTTTTATTCTTATTCTCTTCTTTTATTCTTATTTTACTTTCTTAATTTGAGCCTAAGACCACGAATAAGTATACATTATTTTATGGTTAAAAAAAATATATTTTTTATGCAAACTAAAAATACGTATTAACACCATCTATAAAATTCTTGTGTCACAATGTTCGTTCCCTTACTCCTCCGAAACGGCTTGACCGATTCTCATGAAATTTTGTGTGCACATCGGGTAGGTCTGAGAATCGGCCAACATCTATTTTTCATACCCCTAAATGGTAAGGGTGACCCATCCCTAATTTTTTTTTGTTTTGCAATACAACGTTTGCCGGGTCAGCTAGTAATATATACTAAATTGAACTGCACTGCACTGACAAACAGACAATGTAAAGCTTATCGTAATACTTATTTGTCATCAATTTGTGATAAATTGATAACATAATGTAGGTGTTGCAATTTTTCAACGAATTGTTTACAATATACACAGTCCTCTAGGTATCTTTTAAACGAACCGATAGTAAACTTTACATATCGGTGGTTAAACTCTTTTTATTTACAGTGACTATATGGTAGAATGTTTAACAAGAGTTACGAAGTCTGGCCCAGTAAACTAACTATAGACTAATTTATGTCTACAAATTCACTATAAATAATTGCGTGAGAAGATTTATAAGTAAGAATCTCGCTTCCGAGAGCGGAAGGAACCTAGAATCCTGAATATGTGATTAGGTTTTATTATGTATAAAATAAATGTAACTAACACTACATTAGCAGAGAATATCGGATACCGATAGACAGAGGAGATGAATGAAACAGTTTTTCATTCATGTCCTCTGCATAACGCCTTGATGGCAACTATGCGCGATGGCGAAGTTACCCCTGCCTGCCTAGAGATTTTTAATTTTTGTAACTCCTATTTTACATTTCATAAAAATTAATTCTTGTTTACGTTAAAGGAAATTATGGTTACTTGCTTTTTTACCACACGGACTTACAATTTACTCACAAACGTTTTCGTCACTATTTTCATTTGCAAACTATTCTTTCTCACTATCTTAAGTGCCATATTTTCTCAAAATGAAAAAGAAAATGCATACATTTATTAGCTATAACACAATTAAATAGTTTTTATTTTGATATTATTTATAACTTTTATTAAACATTTCGTTAGAAGTAGGCCATTGCGAGGAACAATAGATCTTTAAAACCGTGTCACCTACATTTATTTAATTACAGTATTAATATTAAGACACTTTAATCTAATCTCTTAACTTTCTAAAGATCTTAATTTATAATTATCAAATTTGCTAAGTATATTAACAGTTCTCCTAGGAGCAATGAACGAATAGTTGTTCGATTGATTTACAACCCATCATTTTATCTAGGTTGATAGAACAAGCTTACCGCATCTGAAATTGCGAGAACCACGTCTGATCAATTGACCTGTCATATAAAACCGCTTGAACGTTTATTAGCAAAGTCAAGATCGTCTTCTGAAGCGAGATCTAGGTTACGAAGGAGATACTATCTAAGACGATAGGCGATCTTCCGTGTACAGTGAGGAACAAAAGTTGCAAATACTGGTTTTAGGTACTTTTGAAAAATGTGGCAATGAAATATAATTTTAAATTAAAAAAAATGTTTAAATGATTTTCTACAAGAGTTTCATTACTGATTAGTCAAATATCGGATGCAACATATTCTTCTTGGTCGATTCGTCTGGTGACCTTTTTCATATCGTTAAACAGCAAACAAATGTAGGGTCCGATTACGGTATATCTACCCAGATATCAACACTAGAAATCAAGGTGTTAGGAAGTACCCTATCCCTTCGCCCTGATTAGCTTCTCTACTTAGCAGCAAAATTGGAATGAAGTGCAGTTTTAGGACGATGAAAATAATGCTCGTCGACTGCTATTGCAGTCGAGTAGCTCCGATTAAATAACAAATTTACGATTGAACATTTTACCGGAAAATTGTCTGACATTTACATTTCATCACTTTAAGTATAGTACAGCTGTATTTTTTTCAAGCCAGTTGAACATCCAATCAAAACTAGTTGGCCTAAGAGATTATCCTTGCGAATATTGAGACAACGCAGGGTACGAGTGAATGCTATTAAAGCAATCACATTTATTAACGTTTCGGCAGTAAAATTGTTTCTGTTCCGATGTTTTTATTTCTTATTACAGTTATTACTTATCATATGTAGATATAATATAAAATAATGAGTGCGTGTAGGTCAAAGGACTTATAAGTATTGAAATACAGTGTCACTTTAAATAAACTTAATGAGAATTCTACCATTTACAGAACTCTATTAATTCAACAGCTACGCAAAATTGGAAAGGGTTACTTGTCCGTCGTGACTCGGTATTTAGTTACCCTTACTTCATGAATATTTTTGCATATAAAGTGCATAATCGAATAATTTCCAACTAGTCAATAAACACAATTGAAGAAGTTTAAAAGTAAATTGTGTCAGCCACGTAATGGCGTCATATTTCAATGACTTCCACTTTTAGTTATATAAGTTGTTGTTATATTAGATGATACTAATAACTCTCACCTAGCCTAAAACAGTTGTGTCACTGGTAAAGTAAAATAATACATTGAAACATACAGAACGAAAACTCATAACTTTCGTCTTTATGATAGGGTTTTGCTCCAGTTCTCGAATGAGGCCATAACACGTACTCTTTCGGAGTGAAATTCGACTGGTGTGCCATTGCCACTTGCCTGTATTAACTCCCAATGTTATTGCAGCCTAAGTGCTGGAAGCTATTAAGTGGACATTAGATTAAGTCAGGCTTCGAGACGACCCGGTTGCCGGAGGCTACTGTCTGATTACGTTGTTTTACCGAGTACTTGATCCGATTTTCGCCGCGTGCCTTATCTGCACAATTCGGCGTATTGCATATCTTCTCTGCAACTAACAAGTAACAAATTAAATCAGTACTGACGGCAGATACGATTTTATTCTGAATGTTCAAATAACCTACTTAATAATGTAATAAATAAATTGTAAGGTAACAGTATTCTTGTGGTTGTTGTTGTCTTCTTAGTGCGCTATAATTAAGATGACATGACATAATATCTCGATTAGTTGTAATTGGTGGGCAAATTATGGGCTCTTGATTCGCCAACGACGTTGAAAGGTAAACACATTAATGGATTGTTGGTCGTTGAGGACATCCTCAAGCCCTCGATTAGGTGGATAAGGGATAAGGTTCACTAGATAAGGTGGCCAGAGTACCTCGGTAGAGGGCTGTATCGGCCGGCCTCGATATGCGGCCACCTTATATGGCGCTGGCGGCCGACGAGCTACGGCGACTTGCGACAGGCTCAATCAGGTATTTTAGGCACAGGGCCTAAATTGTTTACATGCAACACGCACAAGCTTTAATTTCTTTTAAAATGTCATGGCTCTGGTTAACAAGTGTTAAACTTGTAATAAAATTGCAAGTTGGTGCAAAAATCGCTTTTCTGTATGTATGAATATGTATTTTTAAGTTTGTTTAATTTACTCAATTCGACCAACTTGAAACAAAATATAGACAAGTTCTAGCACAATCTGGTCTACGTATGGATATATCTGTCTACTTTAGAAATATTTAATAGTAAGTATTCGCTATTTCATTTAGTTCATTGAGGTATCAATATTGTCTATTACCCTTTAAACACCATCTCGTAAATTTAAGCACCAATTGACAAAATATCGAGATAAAATAACATGTGCCTGTCACGTTCATAAAATTCATTTTTCATTGAAACTTGATCTTAAATCATCACTTTTTATGGTAAATCGGCATCACTTTTTATGGCTACATTATTCAAGAGCATACTCCAACCATGATCGTCAGAAATCAGCTTACAGGTTCACCGAAAAATTAAAATTAGTGAAGATTATCATCAAACAAAAACATAAAACATTTATGTAGCTGCCAAAAATTCTCCCTCTTTCCAAACTGGGTCGAACAATCGAAGCTTGAAGAGAGACAGGCGCGATAGGTTATTATGCAGCCTAATAAGGATGTTGGGAACATTCCCAGCGTGGTCCAAAGGACGCCGCCGAGGACGCAACGCAAGAAGCTGGCCGAATACTCGTCTCGTCCTTGTTATTTAAGGAACGTTTCTGCGAAACCACGCACGCGATATCCGTATAGTAATTATAATTTGAACGCTTTTGACTTTTTCCCCTTTCGTCAACCAGCGTTGCAAAAAAAGGTCATTCGCATAAGGAATGCATCCAGGGGGAAACGTATAAGTATATGTAACGAAGAAATCAATTTAAAAAAAATATGTCTGTGACCATTATTCAAATTATTATGAAGTCTGTTTGCGATAAACTATTACAAAATTATATGTGTGACATTAGAGCCAGTTTACATACAGATATTTTGTAATATGTGTTATTATAAAATTATGAAGAACAGAAATTAACAAAATTATTATAAACGTTATTTACGTTTATAATATAATTTAAGCAAGACAAGTATGACAGAGTTAAATGTTCCAGAACCAAAACAAAGCCGCGATATCGTTTTATCGGAACATTATCAGCATCGATAAAGGAACCGTACAAAGTGCGGATATCTACCAATCGAACGAGATAAGCGTGCACTGTAGAGCTAAAATGTATAGAGTGAACGCATTCGATATATCGCTTCACTGCAACCAAAATAAGGCCGCGGTCAGAGAGGTATTAGTCACTTGTATTAATAGCGATGTTTCAACGGTATAACACAATGCATCTACGTTCTTACTATTCACAAACTAGATTGGTCAAATATCGCTACTACATTTGTAGTTAATGGAGTTCTCCCCTAAATAAGCTCCTTAAAATCACAGAGAAAAACCTTCAAAAATAAATAAACATTACATGTTATCGTAATTCACAAGCTCTTTTTCTTATGAATATTGTAATATTTCTTTCAAACGTATTATAGTTTCGACAAGTGATAGTCTTTTAACTGAATAAGCATGTTCAGAAGCTTACGATTGCATATTCAGTAGCATTGTATTGAAACCCATGTATTGGAGTCATATTACTGCAATAATTACCATATTGAGTAGCCGCCGTCCATTGTGATTGCTTAACCAAAGTGGACCCTTGTCCACTAAGTACCTATAGACTATACGGAGCGAAGTTATTAGCCGCTTGCAGGATCCATTATCGTAATAGGGGCAGCTAAGATTCAGACAATGTACTTGCGATAAGGATATAGCCGCAGTATAACCTAGTTAGTAAAAAGACAACGTAAGCTCAGAGACTACCTATGCGTACCTTAGCGCCGTCTAGACATAATAAAAGTCAAAAATAATACTTAACATCCATTGCTTCTCTTAAGGTCTTGTTTTTTTTAACGCGTTTTACTTTTTCGTTTAAAAATGATTTTGCAATTTGAAAAAATATCAAAACACACTATTAGAAACGGAGGTATACAGATTATATAGAATGCCTTCGGTAAACTAGGTAGGTACCCCATCTGATGTAATCAATCTATTTTGCGTTTCGGTGGAGACATAGTTTTGTCCTTAGTCCAAGAAGCAAGAAAACGTGATGTATATACCGTCTATAACTTTACGTAGTACGTTTCTTCTTAGAACTATTTAAAATTAGAAATAGATAACTTGATAAAGACCACCTACATAGGTAAGAAGGATCCATATTGAACACATGTAAGACATTCCGACAATTAATAAAAAATATAAACAATTAGACGTTGACATATTTGTGACTAGTCAGCAATTGGTGGGACGGGCACTTTAGTCTCGAGTTCTTTTAGGAACACTAATTAAGTGATCCAATTCTTTCTTAAACTTATAAAAGCTTTTAATTTTTTTTATTCGTCAAGACCTGTCTGTATAACCTAGATAAAATATCAAATCAGTTTGTAAAGCTGTTGGTATTCCAAGAACAAATAAATAAATAAATTCCTTTTTAAATCGTCAAATATTTATTGAATCTCAGCTGACTGAGTTGAAGTTAAATGGCGTTAATGGCGCAAATAGCGCCTCAATTCACGTTTTAGCATTTATATGGTGACTAGATTCGAGGGCCGGAGGTAGGCAGACATGGCGGTTAGCCTACATGCACTGTCACACTTTTCAGTGACAGACTCTTCTACCCGCTAAACTCAAAACATCTGATTAACCAACGTGGCGAAATCTACCCTTAAGCGTAAACTCATACAATATAGGTAATGAAACTTGAAACAAAATTGGAATTTTACCCCACCAACATATTGTGATTCATTTTAATGCGTAGGAGTACACACCTAGCCATTTAGGGCAACGATAAAGGAAGGTGACCAGCTATTGACTTCATTTTTATATTTACATTACCCTGAATAGTCTTTTATGATTGTTAAACTGCAAAGTCCGTACACCAACACTGTCAATTGTTAATACAATTTTGAGTTCTCATTTTCAAAAGCATATATTTTTGGCTTTAATACCTATAATAATTTAACTAGACCGTGTATTATATGGCTCTTTCTTTGCACGACATCAAGGAATTCTGTTCACAAGCTATCGTATATTTTTATACTTCGTTCGCATTTAATTTGAAAAGCTCTCGATTTCCGGACAGGGCAAATTTTTTAGGGTTTTCCTAAGAGAAAAAATAGCCTAAGTTACTCATATAGACTCTTACTCATATAGCTACCTGGTAGAAAAATATTATCAAAATTGGTCCAGCCGTTTTATAGAACCCGAACCCGGAACAAACAAACAGACAGACAGACAAAAAATATTCAAACTGGTTTTTAGGCATAGGTATCGTTCAAATAACCGTGAGTAGATGAAAAAAACCCTATTATTTTGACATTACAAACAGACACTTCATAACATATAAACAAATCGATAGTAGAGTAGAATACTCGTAGTATTGGAATATCCTCACAATACAGAAGACCATTTATTAACCGGTAAGGCTGACTATTGTTGATATCAGTTGGACGTTATACATCGGAGGGTATTTATTTGGCACAACGTGCGAATGTCACCGCTATTAGTTATACCTATACATGTCCTTGTTTTGGTAACAAACAATGAATAACACCATCAGTCTGTAGATTCATTACCATATACCTGCGGAAGCAGGTTCTATTTATATCCTTTCGAAATCGTTCAAAGTATTCATCAGTAAATCGAAATAATTTTATAGGAGTTACACTATAAATGTAAAAGTTGAAAATTATCTGTTTGTTATGTTACGTTTGAAAGGTTTGCTATATTTTTATGAAATGACTGCAGCACTGGCTGTCTTGGATATATACTTACGAACATAGATTTCTTTAAAGGTGTTCTATTCAGTACTAACAATAAATTATTATACTAGAAAAGTGTTTGTATATAATACATAATTTTAATAATGAATTAATTACAAGAAACGTACAATGTTTAGAATGACAATTTATTTTTTATAAGACAACGTAATCATTTTTAGAGAATACAGCAAACATGCCACAATAAACTAAGAGTTATTCTACATAAAACTTTTATTATCATCGTTAAGGTTTTTACTCCAAACTGTAAATATAGTTCCTTGTTGATTATGTAACACAAATAAACCTAAAGAGTTAACCCAAAAAACATCTTAAAATGTACCGGTTGAAGAAACGCATACTAAAAAATGATTGTGATGACAAACCGGTACGGCAATTCTCCGGCTATTAGTACCGATAACGATACCTTCATTATCATCGTCGCCGGTCACGGGTTCGATTGCATGCCAATGTTAATATTTGCATGCCTTTTTTTAAACACAGCGCCCGCACTAGACTGCTCCAATGGCGTAGTGGTTTAAGCCTCCTCCACCTCCCCGCTTCCTACTGCTCTGAGTTTTAAGTTCGAACCACGTGTGGGACAACACGTTGTGTGATCTACCAACGATTGTTCTGAGTCTGGGTGTTCTTTGTGTCCGTTTAATTTATGTCTGTGAAGTCCCCCGCGACACAGGATATATTTCTAGTGCGAGAGTTACCTTTTTTTAGAAAAAAACAAGCCAGTTACTCAAAGAGGCTTATTTTAAGCTCTAAGCTCTCTAACCTATGTATTATCTACCGAGCGCAGTGTAATATTATCACAAAATATTTTTGTACGTTCGGAAGTCAAACGATTCAACTTAATGCGTTCGGTGGTAACTACTACTTTGTTAAAATCAGATTAGGTTGTTTATCCGATTCGTCATTGACTAGACAAAAAGGTAAGATACACAGATAATCGTGACTGCTGTTTAGAATGATGAGTCATGTTGCAGCGATGCCAGTTGTACCTAGACAGACATCGAACCGACTACTACAAAGTACGAGGTCCATTCCTTGTATGTATGTGACCTCATTTACAT